CTGGGCCTCCCTTCTGAAGCTGCTGCCCCCGCAACCCGACCCCGGATAGGCGGAAGAAAATGGATGGATGGATGGATGGATGGATAATGTAAGTTTAAAATTATGCCACTGAGTCTCTTTAAGAATTTTTTCACATAATTTAGTGAGAAACATATAAACTGTATAAACTTGCTCAAGATGCACTGAGAAAGTGTCATAAAAATGTTAAGACAAACGGTGGAGAATGATGCAAATTTGTTACGTTTCTTTTCCATTTTTTATACAATATACAACTGCATAATTGGAGCAATTTATTAATGGATTCATGTGAGTGACCAAGATTATGTGTTTAATACTACTCTACATTTTTACAGAGCCCTGGAGTGCTGACTTAAAAAAGTGCAAGGCCTGCAGCTATTGAAATACTTTATGATGAATAACAAACTACATTGGTGATGCACTAAATACATTTTGCTAAAGAGCTGCAGACGTTGTAAAGTAAGCTATAAGTTATTAGGTGTAAAACGCAGCATACAATAAATCCCACCATGCTGGTCTACCATATAAAACCCTGTCATGTCGGGTGCAGCTTACCTTCTGCCACACATAGGCCTCGTGCAGAGTTATGATCTCATGCTCCCTGTGCTCACCCTGCACAGCACACACCACGCAGATTATTTGTTCGTCAGGTTTACAATACAGAGAGCCTTCCTCCCCGTGCTCCTTGCAACGAAGCCTTTCCACTGTCACCGTGTCCCTCTTCCCGGCCTCCTCGCCGCCCACGGCCTCTGGTCCCGCTTCTGCGTTCTCAGCCCCTTCGCAGGCCTCGGCTTCCTGAGGTGAACACTTACGAGCATTTTCAGCATCTTCACACTGACCACCGTTAGCCGGAGGTGCCACTTCCTGATCCATTACAACTGCTCGATTCCCTCCAGGTTCGTTCTCAGCTTCCCCTCCATTTCTGGAGTCTCTGTCTGCGTGCGGGCCGTTGGCCTGTGTCTCTTCGTGCTTGTAAGGCGTCAACGTGTGACGTGTTCTCCCGGCGTGTTTGCCAGCGTGGACGGGGCAGAAGGCGAAGCTGCAGGTGTGGCACACGTGTGTCGCCGGCTGGGCCTCGTCAGGCTCACACGCATCACAGGAGCCGTCCATCTGTGGCAGGTCCTCTTGTCTCAGATCCATGGCTCCTTCCAGAGGTTGGTCCTGATGATCCATGCTGGCTGAAACGGTGTGGGAGTCAAAATAATCCTGAAGGAGAAAAACAGCAGAGGACAAGGCATAAAACAACTGTGACATTCAATGAATGCTTAATATTTTTCCACAAATTAGCTAAAGGTTTAACTAGGAAAAAATAGTAAGAACATTTCAGCACAATTACTAACTTTCTATGTCTGCCAAAACATAACACTGTTTAATGCTTATTGATTAGTTGATAACATGCTTTTAGAATAAAAAAAAACTAACCAAGAAAAAATAGAGTGATTGGGTTATTTGTTTGGTGCTTATAAAACTTTTATTTCTGATAGTATTCTTACAAATGAAAGTTTAACATGTTTAAGACTTATTCCTGGTAAAGTGTTCCAACACAAGTGAATATGGGAGCTAAAAACCTCAGGAAAAAGCATTTAGGGCCACAAAAGAATCAATATGCAACACATTTAAACAGGAAGTAGTTGTTTCGTCTACATTCAGTTTATGTTTGATAATAAAAAGTGTTTGTTGTCACAACATGTCCAAACACCTTCTGAGGCTCTGACCTATTCACTTGTTTTTGTTTTGTTTCTTTGTGTTTTGTATTCATGTGCACTCATCTTTTCATGGACTCTACAGGAAAGGACACAGAGAAAAAAAAATGTATTCTGTATGCCTGTTCGTCTCTTCACCTTTTCTTTCTCGTCCGTTTATCCCCCTCCTGGGTACTGGACTGTTTGTATACTCGTTTTCAAGCTTGGCTCAATAAAAAAAAAGTGTTGTAAACAGAGAGAACTTCACGCACTTCCTGTCTGTGTATCACTATATTCTCTGACCCATTTTCACACGTTCACACGGTCAGTTCACACGGATATAAATACACTTTCTCCCTCGTGATGCATGCAGCATGCAGGTGGTGGTCGGTGTGTACTTACTCGTCCGTGTCTTCTTCTACTTCTTTTTGTCTGTGAGCGGGGTTTGTTTGGTGATCTATTGTGGAGTCTGTGGAGAATTAGCTTGACGGCTAACTTCCGTAGCAGCGTCGTTGTTGTTTCACTTTTAATACGAAGCCGTCGGCTTTATGCTTTCTCTTAACAACAAAAGCGGGGCTCTAAAATCCAGTCCAACATTTACTTCCTTATTATTATCAGCTGCTGCTTGTCTTTTTTTCTTCTCTCCCACTTCCTGTCTGTGTCATTCGGAGTGAATGAAAACGACAGAGACACACAGAGGCTGGGGAGAGAAAGCACGACTTTGTCTTTGGCAGCTGTAAAAAGGCAAACAAGTTTAATCTGTTTATTTTGGAGACACTTTTGTGAACAAAGTATTATGTGTTTGCTTATGTATGATTTAATTTATTTACATAAAGCCACGAAAACAAACAGTTTTGAGTTTTAGCCCTTTTGTTGGAGAAAGGTATTGAGAACCATACTGACATAAAGCGGAAATATACAAAATAATAAATAAATAAATAAATAAATAAATAAATAAATAAATAAAACACTTAACTTTGCCTTTGTTTTGAACTAAACTTTAAACTGAAGCAGCACAGTAGATCTGCACATGGATCCTGCCCCTTCCTGTATGTTGACCAACAGTAGAGGAGCTGACCCAATAAGGACCGCCCACCGTTTTTGCATAATGAGGCAAAAATGCATAAAGTAAATAAAAACAGGAGACATAGAAATGTAAAAGCAACACATGGAAATAAAGACTTGTGGGAAAAAATAAAAGACACAAAAGCACCTACAAGTAAAAGGAACAATATATATATA